ATACTCTAATAAGTTTTCGGAGGTTGTTAGGCACGGTTGAGGTCAGGTGTACGAAATAAGTCTTTGCAAATTATTGGACACGATATATGACAGTGAAGATTGTTGGGTTTACTCGTACATCAGATATTGATGTTAGGCAACACAGCTGAAATGGTGGGGGATGAGACGAGGCTTTTGGGTAATGTAGGCTTAGCATCTAGAGTTGTAGTTTTGATTGGCTTTGTGGGTTTATAGTTGGTGGGCTAGGCTATATATTATAACTAGTGGTATCAGAGCACAAGAGTAATAAGTGTCATTATAGTCGATTTTTTTCTTAAAAGAGCTAGTGTTTAAAAATATAATGTGATGAAATAATTCTAAAATCAACTCTAAAATTAGTTTTAAAATTCAATTATTAACTGCAGCTGATAAAGATAATAAGAGTAAAGGGGTATCCATCATTTTCTTCCTATTTTTTTCTTTAGGGTTTTGTTATTTCTTGGTCTGCGCATATATTGGGTCACCGGCAAATACTTTATATATTATGAAATGGAGAGAATAGCTGGGAACTTTTGTTTCCGCTAAAAGATTTTGTTTTTGGTACATCAACCATTCACCCACTTTGGTTGGTTTAGTTCTTGTTGTTCCATCCTACATGCACAATCGAATTGAGCTTTGTTCCATCATATTATGTCTTTTCTTCAGTTTTATGACAACTTCACTTTTTTTTATTTTTTTAGTTTTTTATTGGTTATACGTCTTAGAGCAAATGCCAGAAATGTGAATCCTTTTCATCAGTGTTAAAAAAAAAACACAATCGAATCGAGGAGCGATATTGTGCAGTCAATTTGCCTACTCCTAGATCAGTCAAAACGGAAGGACGTCGTGTACTGCTACTACAAGCTTACAAGGGCCAGCAATGACAGTGTGGTACAGTAAATGCTGAAACGGCTGCTTTGTCGCTCGTCATCCACAGACCGGGATAATGCATCCACTGCCACTTTGAACAACGTGAGGATGCAGACAGTTCGCAATAAAACAAAGGATACAAACGCTGTCACATTTTCTCACAGTACTCCTACACTCGACGCGACGAGCATCGTGGTAGAGTAGCAGCCGCCACCACCACGGATTGAGATCCTATGTAGTTCGACTGAACCGTTTCTTTTATCACTGATATATGATTTGATGATCTTTAAAACCACATATCCTGATCCCAGGCGTGGTGCAGTGAAATATCCTGATCCCACCACTACTGTAGCAATATGCCAAAGAACTGAACGGCAGATCGTTCTCAATTCGTGGTGGTGCCACTGGCCAGCTTGCTATGAACCACTCACTGCTAGAGATAGCAGCAGCAGTAGACGCATGTGTCGCAGCAGGCAGAGATAGAGAGACAGCTACTCTGGACTGGAGCCAAGGCAGCTAGCCCTACTAGTATCCCGTAGGAGTGGAAGTGGTAAAGAAAACAAGACGGCATCCAAACCAACAGGGCCACTGCAGTGCAGACGACCGAATCTCTCAGAGCAGAGCAGAGCTGCACTGTGCTGCTAGCTGCTTGGTGCGTCGAGACATAGGATCCCTTTAGGCATTGATGGACGGCAGCAGGCTGGCCCCTGCACGGCGCGACGCCGGCGGCTTTCCCGGCCACGAGTTCGTACGCCTGCCTAGCTTTGCCAGCCGCCGCGCGCGTTGGGGCCGTGGCCGAGGAAGAAGACGTGCTAGCTCGCCTACACACGCCCGTCGTCCTCTTCTTGCCGACAATGTGCGTCGCAGTAGTAGCAGTAGTAGACATCGGTTGCGACTGGATCGGAATTCACCGGTCGAAGAGCGTATAGCTGTGCTGGTAATTCTGTGGGAATCTCCGATCGAGGTGCGTGTGCATGCATGCCACACCGTGGCCCATCCCTGGCGGCTCGCTCAGGCACATCTCGGGCGCCTGCATTAGAGCAAGTTTAATAGTTTAGCCAGCTACCGGCTCCAAATCATCTATAGCTAATCTAATAGCCCATTCATACAATAGTTAACTATAAAAATATACTACACCATTAATACCCGGTCCCATCTCTTATATACACATAACGTCTTAGAGTCAGTGTTGCAGCTAGCTACAAATCTGTAGCCCGATTTCTTCTCTCTCTTCTCTTTTCTTTCTCGATATGTGTTTATAACTGGTTTATAGCCTGCTATTGTACTTACTCTTATGCAGGAGGACAAGGATAATAGTAAACTACTACATCCCTCTTAAAATATAACTTTTTTTCTATAAATATAAACACATTTCATTCTCTGGTCTAGTTGTTGTTTTTTTTTTCATTAGGAACCGCAGATTTTTTAGTCCATCACATTCACGCATTTACAATCCATGTGACTGTATTAATACTTTTAAATGGTATTTTATTAATAGCAATTTATGCTTCACAATAATATATATTTTGTATATCGAAGTCTACAGCTAAAATTATTTATATTTTAGGACGGAGAGAGTATAAGTTAGCTATAAACTTATACGGAGAAGAGAGACGATAAAAAAAATCAATGGTGTTGACTCTCATAAACAGCTAACTCGGCACGTGCTACAAGACAAATATTACCTTCATTCCAAATTAGTGGTCGCTTTGATTTTTTTTCTTACAACGTTTGACCATTCGTTTAATTTAAAAAATAGTGTAAATATAAAAAAATGATAAGTCATATTTAAAGTATTTTTTATAATAAAGCAAGTCACAAATAAAATAAATAATAATTTCATAATTTTTTAAATAAAACGAATGATCAAGAATTACAAACAAAAACTTAAAGCAACGAGTATTTTGGGACGGAGGTAGTACATTAAATACATAAGTAAAAGGAAGAGAGAAGAGAATAAAAATAAAGATAATCTTATAACTAATCGATTATATACTCCCTCCATCCTAAAAATATTCAATCTATGAGAGAATTTGACCCCTCATAGTACAACGAATCTGGACATAGAGATATAAGTTTATCCAGATTTGTGATATTAGGAGGAAATGCGCCCTCTTCTAAGGTTTAGTTTTTTTTTCGACGGAGGGAGCATGTTGGTTTTAATTAAGATAAACTAAAATAGCTGGCAGTGCGATCGATTGGTCCTTGGGTGCTTCAACCAAGTGTATAATCATGATCCTACATATAACCCATACCTAGCTAGCCGGGCACGACGCAGGCAGGACCAGCCATAGACCTCGCTTGATCAGTTGCTCTCGTTCACAGTGTCAGTGTGCATCATCAGGACATGGCAGGGCATGGAGGCGCATCTCACACAATGATTGGCTCTTCTGCAACATCCTCCCCCTCCCATTTGGCCCATTTTCTCCCTTGTTCGCATCTGCGCAGTGCCGCAGAATGCCAGAATCATGAAAGGCCACCACTGGGGATCATTGGGACGCATATCTATCTATCCGCCCGGTGTTGTGTTGGGACTGTGATGAATCGAGCGACTGCCTGGCTCGTGTCGGCGGGATGCCGGCTGATGGATTTCATCGGCCGTGTTTAGACCCTGTAAAAATTTGACTATTTTTTTTAAGTATACGGACACACATTTAAAATATTAAACGTATACTAATAACAAATTACAAATTCCGACTGTAAACTACGAGACGAATCTTTTGAGCCTAATTAATCCGTCATTAGCACATGTGGGTTACTGTAGCACTATGGCTAATCATGACGTAATTAGGCTCAAAAGATTCATCTCGCGATTTACAGTCGGACTGTGCAATTAGTTTTTTTTATCCACATTTGATGCTCCATAGATATGTCAAAACATTTAATGTGATAGAAAAATTGAAAGTTTAAAAAATAAGTTGGAATCTAAAAACACAGCCATATTCACCATCGATCGATGGAGCGGAGTAGGGGGCTAGGGGCCCCGCGGGGGAATAATTCTGCCCATGATTAAGCTGCCTGCCGGCACGAAGCGAGATTGTGCGCCCGGAAATGATTCGCCTGCATTTGCATGCATGCCCCCCTCCCCGGGCTGAGCAGAGCAGTGAGCTGAGCGGGAGGAGGAGGAGCAGAGCAGCACTAGCCAATGGAGCGGGGAAAAAGGCAGCCGAGATCCAAGGCTTTTTGTGGTTTTGAGACCGGGGATAATCGGGAGAGAGAACGGCTTGCCCGGGCAGCCAGGGTGGGTCAGCCCTGGGGCATCTTGCTGAGCGCATGAGCCTTTACCATGGTGTGAGTGTGATCGGATCCGAGGATGAACGCCGGCGTCGCTGGGTTTGCCGGACCGCTGTCGATGCCGCGGCTGATCGAGAGAGCTCGAGATTGGGTCAGTTTGCAAGAGTTTCAGCACCAATTTTATTTCTGTTGAAGCTGAAGTCTAGCTAAACTTTAAAAGAAAAAAAAATAGAGCGGGGGCTACGACACTCATGAAATGAAATAAAGAGGGAGAGTTTGGTTTAAATTGATCCATAAGGCCATTCCTAACCCAATGACTAGGATGGTGTCCATAGTATTAAATAAGCTGTCACATATGATGAAAAATGATGTGGCAAGTGAATAAATAAGGAAAGAGAAAGAAACCATGTCTTGCATGAGACATGGTTTCTACACAACATCCAAGTCATCATATGAGATAAGTGGCATTAAATTTATGTTTGGAATAGTGGTGTTTGCATTAGAAAAATAGTGTCTAGTACTAGTTTCTTAATGATGTGAAGTTTATAAAAACTATGTCTAGTCTTGGGTTGGAAATGGCCTAACTCTACTTAGAGTTAAAATAAATTTAGGAGCTGGGGTGCTACTAATCAGGCCTGACACGTAGCGTGAATCGTGATCGGGTCCGTGACGTACGCCCGCCGTGTTTCTGGGCCAGATCATGTTGGGTTGGGTAGAAAGGGTTAGCTTGGTTTGGGCCGGACATTTTAGCTGGGCTAGGTTGTTTAGCTAAGGAAAAAGTACACTGAAGGTCCCTCAACTTGTCATCGAATTACAAAATCATCTTGAACCGTAAAACCAGATATAAAGCATCCCTCAACTTATAAAACCAGTACAAATCTCTGGCGGTTTTAACTCCGGTTTTGTCTGATGTGACAGCTGACTCAGCATGGGACCCACGTGTGCCCCACGCGTCAGCCTCTTCTTCCCCCTCCCCTCTCCACCTCTCTTCCTCTCTCTCCTCTTTTCTTCACGGACGCCGGTGGGGGAGCAGCTGCACGGCCGGCAGGCGGCGGGGTGAGGAGCCGCGCGCGTCCTTCTCCGGCGCGGTGTTCAACCTGTCCACCACCATCATCGGCGCGGGCATCATGGCGCTCCCGGCCACCATGAAGGTGCTCAGTCTCGTGCCGGGCCTCATCCTGGTGATGCTCGCCGCAGTGCTCACGGACGCCTCCATCGAGCTCCTCGTCTGGTTCAGCCGCGCTGTGGGCGCCACCTCGTACGGCGAGGCCATGGGCGACGCCTTCGGTGCTTTCGGCAGGGGGATCCTCTAGCTCTGCGTCATCGTCAACAACGTCGGCGTGATGGTCAGCTTCACTGAACATTTCGTTGTGACTCTAATGGCTTGTGTTCTTTTTCCCTGGGATGAGTTCAGATCCACTGAAATACACGCCGGCCGTGTCGGTTGCTCTGGCCGTCGTGTTCGTGGTGATCACTGTCGGAATCGCCACCATCAAGCTGATGAAAGGGCAGATTCCGATGCCTAAGCTGTTCCCTGATGTTCATGACTGGAGCTCCACCTGGAGACTTCCCACTGCAGCTCCAGTTCTTGTGAGTTGTGACTGCCTACATTTTCCATTACAACGGTACATTTTAATTACCAGCTAAGTTTGCATTTTTCTGTGGGAATGTGATTAACTTGCCACTGCATTCAGTGCACACAATTCACAACGAGCTCAAGGACCACTCCCTGATCAGGCCAATAGTGCGGGCGTCACTGCTACTCGGCTTGGTCGTGTACACCACCACCAGCTTCTTCGGCTTCCTCCTCTTCGGCGAGGCGACGCTGGACGACATGCTCGTCTTCCCCATCGTGTTCCGCGCGCTGCGATTCAACATGGACGGCCTCCTCTTCCCCTCAGCGAGGCCCTTCTCCTGCGACAACCGGAGGTTCGGCGCGATCACGGCGGAGCTCCTCACGGTCATCTTCCTCGCCGCCAACTTCGTCCCCAACATCTGGGACGCGTTCCAGTTCACTGGGAGTAGCTGCACGGGCGACGACGTCGACTGCGGAGGCGGTGGCGACAGCTGCCTCACGGCCGTAATCCTTGTGGCGGCAGCCGTGTCTCCGATGAGGCCGCGCTCCTCCAGCGCGAGCTCGACGCCGGTGGCGGGGAAGAAGGAGAAAACGGCGACGCGGTGGTGCTCGCAATCCACCGCGCCCCGATGTGAAAAGGCTGCGGCGGGTCACGGAATGCCGCCGCCAGCGCCGCCAGCCCGCCACCACCAACGCCCAACTCTGTCTGGGCCATCGCTGGCGACGTGACCCCCCTAGCCCCACCACCAGTGGCTCTTGCCCCTGCTTCGGCCGGCCGGCATGACCGGCGAATTAGAAGAGAATTGGAGAGAGAGAGAGAGAGAGAGGACGGGAGAGAGATGACGTGTCATCATGTCATGTGGGGCCCACGTGGGTCCCACGCTGACTCAGCCGTCACGTAGGATAAAACCGGTCTCAAAACCACCGAAAGCTCTATTATAACTAGTTTTGATTAGTTAAGAGACGTCATATATCTGATTTTGCAGTTGAGAGATGATTTTGTAACTCGATGACAAGTTGAGGGACCTTCTGTGTACTTTTTCCTTTAGCTAACACACACGCACGGAAGATGGAACGGTGGGAAAACACAAGTACCAGTACTCCCTCCGTCTCAAAAAAAAATAAACGCTGGGTTTCCATATCTAATGTTTGACTGTCCATATTATTTGAAAAATTATGAAAAAAAATTAAAAAGATAAGTCACGTATAAAGTATTAATCATGTTTTATCATCTAACAATAATAAAAATACTAATTATAAAAAAATTTCATAAAACACGGATAGTCAAACATTAAACACGAAAATCTAGGATTTGTTTTTTTTTTGGACGGAAGAAGTATTGGGCCAGTCGCTTTCCATCCGCTTTTCACAACCGGCAAAGACGGTGAGATGCGACCGCAAACTGACTACAGGACGACAAAGTTGTGTGTTCAGTTGTTCACCACGGGTGTCTTCACAGCCGTACTGCTAAGTCAATCCCGAAAGCTTCGGTTGTGATTCAGAAATATGACGTGTTTAAATCCAACCAGAATAGTTCGTATCAAAATTTGAATTTGCGGCGGCGGTGGCCAGCGAGTGCGTGGTCAGTGAGCACGCGGCTGGCGAAGCGGAGCGGAGCGCCGGCAGAGGCCGGCGGAGTGGAGCAGAGCGGTGGCGACGGCGATAGGCTAGAGCATGGCCAACGGAGCAGAGCGGAGCGTCGGTGGCGGCGGGCTGCGTGTCGATAAGATTGGAAAGGAAAGCAAAGGAGAAGAAAGAAAAGAAAAGAGAAAAATAAAAAAAGAAATAAGATATGTGGGCTCTATATTTTTTTTATCTCACTTATATGTAGACCTTATATTTTTTTTCTGACTAGAATGAAATCAGCGAAACCATCTATATATACTATCATGGGACCCTTGATTGCATGGTTTTGAACATTTGAAGGGTGAAGAATTTTGGAATTAGGGATTAGGGCTGTCATACAGACTCGACGAATAGTTAAGGAATGGTAGGTGAACTTATTCCAAGAAGGAACGAGTGGGAAAACTGTAAGTGTTGGGGCAGTCGCTTTCCATCCGCTTTTAACTGGAGTACGTGCAAAGACGGTGAAATGCGACAGCAAACTGTCTACAGGACGACAAAATTATGTGCTCGGTTGTTCGCCACGGGTGTCTTCACAGCCGTACTGCTAAGCTTGCTGACGCCCCGAAAGCTTCGGTTGTGATTCCGAAATAGGACGTGTTTAAATCCAACCAGAATAGTTCGTACCAAAATTTGAATTTGCGTCTTAGTAATTTGAAAGTTTTCAATTAGCTGTTGTGAAGAAGCGGAATTAACTGACGGAGTGAAATCATCAGGAGAAGCAAATGGCTGCATTCCCCCGCTACATATTGCGACCTGTGTGCAATGATTGTACTATTAATTCGCTTTGGCTCAGCCACGCTGTCAGCTCGCAATCAGATAATGTAACCAATTGCTAAATAACAAATTCCAGAGAAAGAATGTGAATGGCGTACGCTACCATGGCGGAATCAACCAACGTCGCCTCAACAACATTAAATAAAAACAATCAGAATATACAAAACAAAAATTGATCGATCATGGGAAGTGGTACAGGTTGGACGGCTGGAGCCCGGCGGTGACGTTGAAGTACCTGAACGCCGCCGCCCACCGGCGGTTGTCCTTGAGCATGTGCACGAGGACGGTGTCCGGCCGGAAGTTGTCCATGTCCCAGTTGAGGTCGTACATCCGCGGCCTGAGGCTGTACCGGTTCTTGCCCCGGCGGCCGATGTTGAGCCATTTCCCGACGAGGAGGTCCTCGGGGCCGTGCGTGTCGTTGTACCGCAGGATGTCCTCGTTGGTCGACACCCACGTCGCGACGTCCCAGGACACGACGTAGCCCATCCCGTGCATGAACTGCATCGGGTCGTCGCCGACGGCGAAGCCGTAGCCGAGGTAGACGTCGTCGCGGGGCTTGTGCCGGAGCTCGTCGACCAGCGCGGCCACGCGGAGGTACGTGTCGTCGTCGGTCTTCATCACGTAGTCGTAGGGCGACGACGCGAACATCCGCGGCACGGAGGAGAGGTACTCGTGCGTCTTGCCGTCGTTCATGTTCTCCGTGCAGTTGAGCACCAGGATGTCGCCGTGCCGCGCGGCCTCCAGCACCACCAGCTGCGCGTCCACCGGGTCGGCCACGCGGCAGAACACGAAGCGGACGTCCACCTGCGCGACGCCGGGGGGCACCGCCGGCTGCAGCGCGTACGCCAGGCGCACGATGTTGCGACGCTCGTACCGCTTCGGCGTCGTCAGCACCCCCACCAGCAGACGGAGCTCCGGCCGCACGACGGCCTTCGTCTCAGCAGCAGCAGCAGCAGCGGAAGCTGCATCTCCACCCGGCGTGACGAGGTAGCCGTCGGCGGTGGATGGGCCGGCGTGGCAGAGGACGCCGAGGCCGTCGGAGCGGACGTGGGAGGAGCCGAGGCTGGGGACGACGAGCACCACGGCGAGGAGGCCGAGCGGCACCAGCAGGAGATACGGGGTGCAGAGCGAGGCGGTGGCCGGGAACCCGTGCGACGACGACGACGACGACGATGCGGTCTTCATCGTAAAAATCTCGCGGGGAAATGCAAGTGCCCCTCGCACGATCGCGGCCCGCGCGTTACTCGAGCTATAGCCGTACTCGACTTATAACCAGGCACGAACGCGCGCTGGTTTAGCGATGTGGGACTAAAATTTCAGCATTTTCCCCCTCTCTCTCTATCTCGTGTCAAAAGCGTCGGTGGAAACGAACGGTTCTTCGCGGAAGAAGTCGTCGTGGCAATGGCAATGTGGCATCACCCACGGGAGTACGCGACACGGGCTCGATCGATCGATCGTCGTCGAGGCTGCCGTCATCAACGGCGACAAGGAACCTTACTCGATAAGTTTACTGGATAATTTTGGGTTGTCTCGTGCCACATGACAGGGGATGTTTCAACGGCCAACGCCATATGGTAGGTGGCAGACGGCCGGGGATATACCCCAGCCCTCCAGAGCTCTAGTTTTATCGCCAATGTATGGAAGGACAGCTCAGGGGTACATCGAAAATTCGAAAGGGATTTGATTAAAATAACAAGTACACAGTGAGCAATCATTCAATCATTCATGCTGAGATTCGAGGCATCCAGCTTCCAGCATGCATTGTTGGCGACTTGGCGTGATCGTTTTGAGTTCGGGGGCGGCTGGAACAGAAGAAGGTCGCTGGGAACAGGCAAGCTTGTCGGCTACTACTACTTGCGCGATAGATATGCCCGGTGTGTGTTCAATTGTTCATGACATGCCTGATGCCTTGGCTGGAGGACGATCGAAACCGAGATCTCACCAACTTATACAAATGATGGTAGATTAATAGGCAGGGAAATTGACAATTCTTGCGGATGCTTTTGCCTGTATGATCGCCTTAATTTGAGATCGTGATTTTTCAGTGAAAAAATCGATTTCGTGCAACTTCGAAACGTTGAGGGTTAATTGGCTAATGCAGCTGGTCTTCTGTTGAGTAATTCAACATAAGAATTCTACTAGCAGATCGATATAGTGTTGACCTGTTCTCTCTATTTTGTAAATATAAAGTTTAGACCTTTTCTGGGTATATGGCATGTGTTATGGCAAAGTCGGTCAGACTGATCATACAGTGAAACCAACTTGGTCTGGTCTTTCTTTCTCAGAATACAACCTGAATGTACGCGTACCCATGCATGTCTACTTCAATTGATTAATTAAGTTTTGTACTTTCTAGTAATATACGGCATTGTTTACTTTTGGATATGATATTTGACCATTGATTTTATTAAAAAAAACCTAAGTAATATTTATTTAGTTGTGATTTGTTTTATTATTAAAGGTTCCTTAAGCATGACTATATATATTGTTTTATGTATTTATACTATACGAATAATCAAACATCATGTCTAAGAGTCGGCTATGTTATATATTAAAATCAGAGAGAAATAGAGAATATATACTAGCTAGTAAAATGTTGGATAGCAACATAATTGCGACGGAGGTAGTATATCTATTATATTATTAAAGGAATTGAAAAAGGAGCCTCCACATTCGCTCTCATGGTCTAGAAATTCTCACATTAATCGGACAAAAAGAAAAAACAGAGTTCATATAGAAATACAATTTAGAAATAGCTGAAATTCGGAATTAAAAAATAAGGAATATTAGAAGAGTTGACTAGAGTCCATATAGAAATACAATTTAGAAATAGTTGAAATTCGGAATTAAAAATAAGGAATATTAGAACAGGAGACTAGAGTCCATATAGAAATACAAATTAGGAAATAACTGAAATTCGGAATTAAAAATAAGAAATATTAGAAGTAGAGTATAGAGTCCATATAGAAATACAAATTAGGAAATAACTGAAATTCGGAATTAAAAATAAGAAATATTAGAAGTAGAGTATAGAGTCCATATAGAAATACAATTAGGAAATAACTGACATTCAAAATTAAAAATAAAGAATATTAGAAGTAGAGTATAGAGTCCATATAGAAATACAATTAGGAAATAACTGAAATTCAGAATTAAAAATAAGGAATATTAGAAGTAGAGTACAGATTCCATATAGAAATACAATTAGGAAATAACAGAAATTCGGAATTAAAAATAAGGAATATTAGAATTAGAGTATATAGTCCATATAGAGATACAATTAAGAAAAAAACAGAAATTCGGAATTAAAAAAAGGAATATTAGAAGTAGAGTATAAAGTCCATATAGGAATTTAAAACTAACTAAAATTCGGAAAAAAAAAGAGTCTCCATGTTCACTCTCATGACCTAGAAATTCTCATATTAATCGGAGAAAAAGAAAAAGCAAAGTCCATATAGAAATACAATTTAGAAATAGCTGAAATTCGGAATTAAGAAATAAGGAATATTAGAAGAGGAGACTAGAGTCCATATAGAAATACAATTAGGAAATAACTGAAATTCGAAATTAAAAATAAGGAATATTAGAAGAAGAGTATATAGTCCATATAGAAATACAATTAGGAAATAACAAAAATTCGGAATTAAAAATAAGAAATATTAGAAGTAGAGTATAGAGTCCATATAGAAATACAATTAAGAAAAAAAATAGAAATTTGGAAATAAAAAAAAAGAAATATTAGAAGTAGAGTATAGAGTCCATATTGGAATTTAAAACTAACTAAAATTCGGAACAAAAAGGAGCCTCCATACAATTAAGAAAAAAAATAGAAATTTGGAAATAAAAAAATAAGAAATATTAGAAGTAGAGTATAGAGTCCATATTGGAATTTAAAACTAACTAAAATTCGGAACAAAAAGGAGCCTCCATACAATTAAGAAAAAAAATAGAAATTTGGAAATAAAAAAATAAGAAATATTAGAAGTAGAGTATAGAGTCCATATTGGAATTTAAAACTAACTAAAATTCGGAACAAAAAAGAGCCTCCACGTTCGCTCTCATGGCCTAGAAATTCTCACATTAATATAAGAAAAAGAAAAAGCAGAGTCCATATAGAAATACAATTTAGAAATAGCTGAAATTCAGAATTAAAAAATAAGGAATATTAGAAGAGGAGACTAGAGTAGTTATTACACATTAGTAGTTTCGTAAAGTTATTGCAAAATTTAAAATTATGTTGTCATTGTAATATATTTTAATAATAAAATGAGAAAACATATATGCTATTATACGTGAGAAAATATAATGATGCTAACCGCGTAATCTGCGCGGGCCACCATGCTAGTTTTTTTTTTTGAATGCCAAAAGAGGTAGTATATGACATGGTACATACGGAGTACCTTCTATTAGTATCTTCTCAAGCACCGTGATAGAACAAATGTCCATCTATCTCGAGGCAACAAATTGCTCACCTTAGGAGCCAAACTACCGAATGTATAATAAGATCGTAGGTTGTGATATACAGGTTTAATGCTTGAGAATGCAACGGACATTGCTCCAGTCAAGGTTAAGTACATCTTGCACTATTGTTATGCACTTTTCTTTTGAGTGAGACCACCAAAAACAACATAGGAAATCCCCAAAATTGATATGGCAAAGCTATCTGAAATATACAGCCTTGACAAATTACGTTTTGCAAGAGGAGTACAAGCAAATTACAGAGCTAATAACAAGCAGAGCAAGCACATTCCACTTTGGAGGCTACAAGTCTACTACAGCTTCACCCTGCGGACCACTTGCATCAACCCTAATCGTATGAAGAAGATGGATACAAACTTTGAGTTATCATATCCATCAGCCGGCGACCCCCCCATCTTGAATGCTTTCATTTCCTCCACACGCGGACACACCGTGCTGTTTCTCATCAATCCGCCAATTACAACCACACCTATCGTTGTCACGAGGCGATCAATGACGAATCGATCGAACAGGATCAACCCGATGATCACCAAGAAATCGAGCAGCCGAAATCGAATTTGAGCGAGTCAAACCGAGGCACAGCTCGCGCATCCGTGTTCGTGCACCGCACAACCAATGCACGAATCGAATTAAACCCGTTAAAGAATGTGTCGAACGATTAGTTAATTAGAATTAATCAAACGGGGAAGAAATTAACAAACAACAATTATGGATCATCGAAGAGGTGATCGATCGATCGATCGATCATGGTGAGAGGTGGTGCAGGTTGATCCCGGCGGTGACGTTGAAGTAGCTGAACGCCGCCGCCCACCGGCGGTTGTCCTTGAGCATGTGCACGGCGACGGTGTCCGGCCGGAAGTTGTCCATGTCCCAGCTGAGGTCGTACATCCGCGGCTTGAGGTCGTAGCGATTCCGGCCGCGTCCGGCGAGGTTGAGCCACTTCCCGACCATGAGGTCCTCGGGCCCCTCCGTGTCGTTGCGCGCGAGGATCTCCTCCGCCGTGGACACCCACGTCGCGACGTCCCACGACACGACGTACCCCATGCCGTGCATGAACGGCATCGGCTGGCCGCCCATGGCGTAGCCGTAGCCGAGGTAGACGTCGTCGCGGGGCTTGCCGCGGAGCTCGTCGGCGAGCGCCGCCACGCGGAGGTACGTGTCGTCGTCGGTCTTCATGACGTAGTCGTAGGGGGACGACGCGAACAGGCGCGGCACGGAGGAGAGGTACGCGTGCGTCTTGCCGTGGTTCATGTTCTCCTCGCAGCCGCCGAGCACCACGACGTCGCCGTGGCGCGCGGCCTCCAGCGCCACCAGCTGCGCGTCCACCGGGTCGGCCACGCGGCAGAACACGAAGCGGACGTCCACCCGCGCCCGCGCCGCCGCCGGCTGCAGCGCGTACGCCAGCCGCACGATGTCGCGGCGCTCGTACCGCTTCGGCATCGTCAGGACGCCGACGAGCAGGCTCAGCTCGGGCTTCTCCTCCTCCTTCGGCGCCGCCGGCGCCGCGACGGTGTAGTCCTCGGCGCCAGCGCTGCGGCGGGCGCAGAGGACGCCGAGGCCGCCATCGGAGCCGACGCGGGCGCCGTTGAGAGAAGGGAGCAGGAAGACGACGGCGGCGAGGAGGAGCAGCGCGAGCGGGGCGAGGAGGAGGTAGGAGTTGGACGACGCCGGCGCCTTCATCGCCATGGCCGCATGCAAATGCAACGGGAGACAACGTGGTTGGTAGGTGCAATGCAGAACGAGCTGTAGTAGCTGTTATACGCGCACTAATCAAGCTCACGTAATCAAGAATTCCATTAAGAAATTCCACTGCCTAACTTGGTTTTTTTGTAAACAAATCGTCGAACAGAACAGCTGACAAGACAAGAGTTCTTTCTAGCTTGACGCGATGCGCTGGCCAGTTAGAACTCGCCACGTGCAGTAATAACAACACCCATCGCTTACCTTTTAACTTATCTACAAATAAAACTTAATATTGAATTTAATTTTAGAGTTTTCAATTATGATTTATTTTTTACATTGATCTTTTAATCGCCAAGGACGATATATATATGAGTGTGTGTAATAGTTTTATAGCTTTCGAACGATTAAACAGAAAACATCTTCTCTTTTTCTTTTGACAGAGACGGTTGCTCTGTCTCGTTATTGACACAAAGGTTAAGTTAATCACGAAACGAGTCCATATCCCATAGAGGTTCAGAAATGGCACGTTGAGCTGTCGCCGTTCAATAATAGCAGCCGAGTCAAAGGAGAGCGTGAAGTGCCGTTCACGACGACGGCTTCCCCGCTGCGAAATGCCTAGCCTTACCGGTGAATGATCGGATCAAACTCTGAACAGGAATAATAATAATAACAATAATGCAGAGAAGTTTCTGAATATGAGGCAGAAAAGAAAGCCATATGGTCCCTAGTAGTAGGGTCGAAGCCTGTAGTATACAGATACCAGTATTAATCAAATTTTAGTCCCTGAGTTGCCGTGCCGTGCTGTGCTATGCTCGCACATGCTGATGGCATTGTTGTTTGTGTTCATGGCTCTGAAAGTAACGGGCTACCAAGAACTGATTCCAATCAAATCGCACATCGCTGTTTCATGTGACGAATCCTGGTCATGGGCTGGTGTCATCTCCAGTCGTGTTTCGTCCAGAATTTGTACCGCGTTTTCTTCCTGTTGCTCGTCATCTTTGTGCTTCTCGGCTAAGTAATTACTAGCCTGTACGAGCAGAATTGTTCCACGGCGAGGAGCCCCCGTTTTCAAGCCGTGCTCCCCGCGTTTCTGGAGACAAAGAAAACTTGTCGATACCCAACAGTCCTACCTGATTAGCTCGAAATCAATCGACAAAAACCGGTGAAATCCGAACAAATTTTGCAGATATATACACTGAACCTTTCCCGTATTTAGCCGGCTTACTGCACGGTTTCTCAATTCGAACCGACTTGATAAGATTGATAACCGCGACCGATTACTTACCGTCATAGGAGTATCTTTGAGACCCTGGTCAGGTCAAAGGTCATCGGAAACGACTCGGAAAATTAAACCTCCAAATTCACAAGTCTCCATCCCACTGGTCCCTGGACATGGAAGAGGAGGGGACCGGCCGTGTGTACTTGTACACGGAAGGAACCAAGCAACAGCACTGTCGCCGGATGGAGTTTGGTCCCGGAGGAAACTGATCGATGAAGCTCCAAGACTCCAAGCGCCGGCGACATCACACAGCTCGATCGATCGGCAGCAGCAGCAGCTACAGAATATAGATGCGTCGCGTAGCAAGCTGAGCTATGCCGATGGGCCCTGTGGCACTAACGGTTGCCAAGAGAGGGGATTCTAATCACTCGAGATGATAATGTAGTGATCGATAGGTCGCAATAGGCGCCAAAGCCACCCGTATAGCCTAGTGATCTTTAAAAAAAAAAAATCTGAATTACCCTTCTTACTATCGTGGTGAATAGCAGATATTCAGGTCCCGTTTGATAGAGCTCTAAACTCCAACTCCCAATTCTAACTCCAACTCCAGTAAGAGCTGGCTCCTATACGAGCTGAGACGGGTATAGAAAGTATTTGGCTAGATTACTCAGATCCACGCCACCACATCCCTCGTCGCCATTTTGTCGAACACCTTGTAGACGTCACCCTACTGTTGCTGCCGCCAGGCAGCCCGCGAGCCGCCGCTGCTGGTCAGCCCCCGCATCTCCTCCGCCGCCCCGGGCCACCACCTATCGCCACCGCCGCCAACGCCTGCCGCCGCCAACGCAAACGCCGCTATCACAGCCACAGCAAGACGCCGGAGGAGGATGGGGAGGAAGATGGAGAGGAGAGACAACGGGAGGAGAAGGGTAGGAAAGGGTAGTTTAGTGGTATTTTTACGTAAATACACTAAAAAGGTAGTGGTTCTTTTGAGGTGGAGTGGAGTTGTGGAGCAGCAAAAACCCAACTCCATCCCGTAGTATAATTTTGTGGAGCAGCTCTGCTAACTCTGCTCTAAAAAAATAAAGAATATGTATCTATCGATGGGGGATACCCGTAGACCGGATAAATAGGGTATTGGGGTACGTTGGTATGAGGATCTACATGATACGACATCAAAACAAACAAGGAGACAAAGATTATACTGGTTCAAGCCCCTCGTTACGTAATAGCCCTAATCTAGTTTGTATGAGATTGATATGAAAAATCACAGAGTACAAAGAGAACAAAAGAATCCGGCGTTACTGGCGAGATCCTTCTCTAGATGATTCGATGAGATCTCCCGGCAAGTGGGCTTCGCGTCCTCCCGCTCCGTAAACTATGGTGGGGGTGTTGGTGTTGTGATACAATGATCTGAACCCTCAGGCGGCCTTTTATACCGTGAGTTGCCTTAGTCTCCAAGTAGAACTCAGAGACAACAAACCCTGCACGATATAGAATAAACCTAATCCTCTCTGAATAGGACTCTGATAATCACTTGCCCATAAGGATATTTTCCATAATATCTTGTAAATTCCCTTATCGCATACGGAAACATATCGTATACATGAAGGTATACCGTATCCGTATATTCCATAAGGCGTGGGATATGAGGTATGCCTTATCCGTAACCATGACAGTACCGTTTGGCACAGTTCTCCAGATAAGCTGGAGTTGGGAGGTAGAGCTGTGCCAAACGGGGCCAATACCATCAACTTTTCATACTAGACAATTAACCCCCTAACTCCTGTTTTAGATGGTTTTGAACTGGGGAGGTTAACGTGGCATTCCAAGGTGTCAAAAAAATAAAAAAAAAAGTAAGTCAACAATGGCTGTTAGCAATATTTAATAAAACTAGCATAGTGACCCGCGCAGATTACGCAGCTAGCATCATTATATTTTCTCTCATATAATAGCATATATGTTTTCCCCTTATATTATTCAAATATATTAAAATGACAACATAATTTTAAATTTTGCAATAACTTTACAAAACTACTAATTACTAATTTGTAATATTCATATTGTATTTTATATACGTGTTAGTTATTAATTATTTTTAATATCAAATTTCAGTTATTTGTAAATTATATATATTCCTATATATACTCTAGACTCGTCTTTTAATATTTCTTTTTTTAGTTTCAAATTTTTTTTGTAAATTGTATTTCTATATAGACTCTATGCTCTTCTTCCAATATTATTTATTTTTATTTCTGAATTTTTATTATTTCTAATTGTATTTCTACGTGGATTCTAAACTCATCTTTTAATATTATTTAATTTTTAATTTCGAATTTCAGTTACTTCTAAACTATATTCCTATATTGACTTTAAACTCTTCATCCCATATTTTTCTTAATTTCAAATTTTAGTTATTTGTAAATTATATTTTTATACGGACTCTAAACTCTACTTTTAATTTTATTATGTTTATTCTAAATTTTAGTTAGTTTTAAATTCCTATATGTACTCTATACTCTACTTCTAATATTCCTTATTTTTTAATTCCGAATTTCTATTTTTTTCTTAATTGTATTTCTATATGGACTCTATACTCTACTTCTAATATTCCTTATTTTTAGTTCCGAATTTCAGTTATTTCCTAATTGTATTTCTATATGGACTCTGTACTGTACTTCTAATATTCCTTATTTTTAATTCCGAATTTCAGTTATTTCCTAATTGTATTTCTATATGGACTCTATACTCTACTTCTAATATTCCTTATTTTTAATTCTGAATTTCAGTTATTTCCTAATTGTATTTCTATATGGACTCTGTACTCTACTTCTAATATTTCTTATTTTTAATTCCGAATTTCAGTTATTTCCTAATTATATTTCTATATGGGCTCTAGTCTTCTCTTCTAATATTCCTTATTTTTTAATTCCGAATTTCAGCTATTTCTAAATTGTATTTCTATATGGACTCTGTTTTTTCTTTTTCTCCGATTAATGTGAGAATTTCTAGGCTATGAGAGTGAATGTGGAGGCTCCTTTTTCTATTCCTTTAATAATATAACTAGCTAGGTGGCCTGCGCAATTACACGGCTAGCACCCAAACAAAATCATATATTTTTTTAGTATGATTTTTACTTAAAATTTATTAAATAGTTATCTCATTGTCTTAAGACTTTGAAAGACGAAACCTTATCATCCTTATGTTTCTAATTATATAGTTTTTAAAAGTCACACCAATTGCTACCCCTTATGTCATCTCCTTCTTTATTTGCTTGCTCGATCTACCATTATTTCTATTCATTCTTTTTGGAACCTTTAAAAATTGGATTTTATAGTTTTTAGAGTTTATTGTCACATTGGATTTCATTTTTATAATATCAAAATGTCCCGTCAAACGTTGCCATTATACTCCTCTACGGCCCGTCCATTGTCTCTTCTCTTTATTGTCATTGAGATTTTAAAAATCGAACATAATTATTGTTTGGGTTCATTTTTACTTTCTAAAAGTCCCGCCAAACCGTCAACGGCTTTGCCATTGTACTCCTCTACGGCTAACCCGCTACCTTACTTCTTTATTGTCATTGAAATTTTAAAATCGAACATGATTATCATTGGTTCTTTTTTACTTTTTGGAAGTTTCAAACCTTTAAAAATTGGACTTGTAGTTTTATTTTTTATAACTTTTAGAAGTCCCATCAAACGATGCCACTATGCCCCTCTACAGCCCGTCCGCCGCCAACTCTTTATTGTTATTATGATTCTAAAAATCGAACATAACTATCATTTGAATTCATTTTTTATTTTCTAGAAGTCCCGTCAACCGTCAGCGGCTCTGCAACTATACTCTTATATACCCCGCCCACTGCTTCTCCTTTTTATTGTCATTGA